AAGAATTTCTTATCTCGCACCTGCCGCCAGTAGAACCTCCTTCCTATCACTTGGTTCTTTATAATCTTCAAAGATTCAAATGTAATGTCAATCGACATTTTCTGATGCCTTGACCTTGATACCCGTCCTTCTCTTTATCCTTTTCCCAAACACTCCTCTTCACTCTTATTCTCGCTCTTCTTGCATGCTAATGGCACTCACAACTTGTTTGGGGTGAATAATTAACAAAAAAAAAAACAAACAAAAACAAAACAACGAAAAGAAAAATTGACCTTGAGTGGCTTGAACAAAAATTGAAAAAAAAAAATAACTATCTATCCATCGATTTTAGACAAAATCCTACTTTGCTTATCTAGTAGTAGTCGTCCTAGACTAGCCCTGTAGAAAAAAAAAGAGAATATATATTATAACTAGGGGATCATCTTTCTCAGAAAACTCCGTGTATCTTGTGCTGACAAACTGCTCTCATCTAACTCTAAAAGTCTGTTCACATCTATCTATCTATCTATCTATCTATCTATCTATCTATCTATCTATCTATCTTCATGTATATCTAACACAGTCTAATCATATATATCTTTCTATCAACCTCAGTCTATTCATTATCTATCTATCTATCTATCTATCTATCTATCTATCTATCTATCTATCTATCTATATCTATCTATCTATCTAAGTCTCAGTCTAATTATCTATCTATCTATCTATCTATCTATCTATCTATCTATCTCAGTCTGTTCACGTCTACTTCAGTCTATTCGTATCTATCTATCTATCTATCTATCTATCTATCTATCTATCTATCTATCTATCTATCTATCTATTTCCATGTATATCTAACACAGTCTAATCATATATATCTTTCTATCAACCTCAGTCTATTCATTATCTATCTATCTATCTATCTATCTATCTATCTATCTATCTATCTATCTATCTATCTAAGTCTGCCCAATATCTATCTATCTATCTATCTGTCTATCTATCTATCTATCTATCTATCTATTTATCTATCTATCTCCGTCTATTCATATATATCTATAACAGTCTAATCATATATATCTTTCTATCAACCTCAGTCTATTCATTATCTATCTATCTATCTATCTATCTATCTATCTATCTATCTCAGTCTGTTCACATCTACTTCAGTCTATTCGTATCTATCTATCTATCTATCTATCTATCTATCTATCTATCTATCTATCTATCTCTTCATATATATCTAACAGTCTAATCATACATATCTTTCTATCAACCTCAGTTTATTCATTATCTATCTATCTATCTATCTATCTATCTATCTATCTATCTATCTATCTATTACAGCCTACTGTATATGAACTTTAAATTAGTTTGGCAGTAGGCCTCAAATAATTGTATGTCAATCATAGATTTACAATAAGTGCCACTAATACAAGTATTTACAATGTGTGCATGTGTGTTTGTAAGCAGACCTTTAATAAGAGATGCTTCATTAAAATCTAGTAAGTACGAGCGTAGTATTTAATATTAAGTATAAATTTTTGATTTTATCTTTTTTTAATCATATCACCCCATGCAAGGCGGTTAAGCCACTAAGACACAATGGTTCTAGATTGCAAAGGAATAAGAAAAAAAGAGAAACATTACTAGGGTGCGAAAAAAAAAAGAGGTGCAATCAAGAAGACAGTTGATGACGTTTGATATTGCATTGGAATTATTGAAGATCAAAGATGACTGGAATGCAGGGGGCCGGAAGAGATTTCCACATGTCAGAAGTGCGGGAAAAGAAACTGTTTTCTTCGCGCCAATTCAACAGTGATTCATGAGACCTTTCAGCCAATCTAATACTACGCTTAAATTTATAAAGTCTAGGTACCATATTGAATAGTTTATCTGAACAATTACCATGAAAGTATTAATAGGAACGTTACAAGGAAACAATTTTACGGCCGTGAGAATGCGATTGAAGTTGAGCGATATTGCCGAGTATTCTTTGCATTTTATCAAGAATCTCTAAATATATAGCCGGAGCATTGGATCATATGCGGCAGCAATATTCTAAGGATGGGAGAATGGTAAACTTATAAATATTTAAGAGAGATTCTGGGTAGATAAACTGTCTAGCACGACACAGTGAACCAGTTTTCTTAACAGCAGACCTAGAAATATAATGTTTCACTTTCAAGTTAGCCGAGAATGTTAGGCCGGAAAACTTTAAATCATTTTAAAGATCAGCCATCACTTTGAACTCATCGAAGTGATCATTTTCTATCGGGAGAGGAAGAACTATTTTTCATCTACATAGATAGGAAGTTGAGAAATGAAGTCATTTTGAAAAATTCTTATTTGTCGTAATATCAAGATGTCTGAATTTAGATAAGAATTTCGCTTGTATGTGATTTCCTGTGTGGTGTCATAATAAACGACTAATTCCGAGTTTAAACAGTCTTCAGATAGATACGAATAGACTGAAGAAGATGTGAACAGACTGAGAAAGATAGATAGATATGAAAAATCACATTACGATAGATAGGTAGATAGATTGATAAATATGAAAAATCACATTAAGACAGATAGATAGATAGATAGATAGATAGATATAAAAAATCAGATTACGATAGATAGATAGATAGATAGATACGAATAGACTGAGCTAGATGTGAACAGACTAAGACAGATATGAAAAATCATATTACGATAGATAGGTAGATAGATTGATAGATTTGAAAAATCACAATACGACAGATAGATAGATAGATAGATAGATATGAAAAATCAGATTACGATAGATAGATTGATAGATAGATACGAACAGACTGAGGTAGATGTGAACAAACTGTGATAGATAGACAGATAGATAGATAGATAGATAGATAGATACGAAAAAACTGAGGTAGATAAGCTCAAAAACACTTTGCTGAGGACAGAAATCGATGCGGCTAATTGAGAGTTTGATGCTGCCGCAAGAACCAATTGGAGAAGAGCAGTCCACGAGAAAAAAATCCTTGGTAAAAAAAGAAAACAGAAGAAAAGTAGAAGAGACAAAGAGAGCCCCCCCCCCCCCGGAAATATAGTTCTTCATCTACAGAACACTTTTACCCTATCATGCGATGGCTGCGGACACCTCTTCAGATCCATCCGAGGATTTATTTCACACAGAAGGATATGTCGACGAGCACACCAATACTCGGCAATAATTTCCGACAAAGATGACAACGAAACAAACTCTCAAGCCATGTTATCTAGCAAGTTATCAAGATCTTCCTCTCCATGAATGTTGCCGAAGTTGGTCAGTTTTCCGAAGTCCATGCCATCAATGTTGGTGTCCTCCCAGGAGCCCTACACGCATTCTGCTTTTCATTAATGATCTACCTAACGGTATCATAATTTGATCGTCTTTTGGGGCTTAAGGTCAGCGCAGAACGCATATATACGATACATTGCCAAGGATTCTGAAAAAAAAAATATTGTTTCGAGAAAATATCTGACTAGTTCTGTCATTCGCCATCTTTAATAAGGCCCGATTAGTCCCCAAATGGTGTACTGCTGCCATAAATGGTCTGGAGTTGCTCAATTCTCACTTTCTAGCATTAATAGAGTTCCAGTGTGTGGATGCGATCTTGTATGGGGTGCTTTTTCCGGCTCTACAGCCTCTTCTTCCATAGACGAATCGTCGCATGCCCGTTGCTACTCTATCGCTATCTCCATGGCAAAAGTTCAGATGAGACACTCTCTTTACTTCCAACTGTATAGATCGAAGTCTCTATGTTACGCCTCCGGCATCGAATCCCAACGTTTTCTTCGTATTGCAATTTTAAGGAGAAAGTTCATCCCAAGCAGCATTTTCCCAAGAAATTCTATTTTTTGAAACGAACTCCAATATGGATATTTCCCTGAACACGATAATGTTAAACTCTTCAATTATTAATCGTTATCTGTCTTCCTTATTCTCATCATCTTCATTTCTTATTCCTCCCATTGCATTCATATCAAACGCCTTATTCAATAGTAATCTAGACTGAGAGCTCTTGAGCCTTAAAATTAGGTGTAATTTAGTAAAATTTAGTTCGCTCTTACTGTTCAATAATATTTCTTCATATATGAATTGGCAACTTTTATTTCCTGGTACAATTACAATATCTCGATGCCAATCTATAAGGAATGGTCTACGTGTCTAACCCTCTCATTATCGCTGGCTGATTGCAATCATTTTTTATAGAATATATTACAAGGTTATAATCTTTTTGCCAGTAAGAACGGATCGTATTCATTAACGATCAAAAATTTGAAAATTTTTTTTTTCTCTGGGTGCGTCTTTATATTTACAAAGTTTTGATAAGCATGGTACAAGGCCACGATAATACAACACCATATAATGATCGATATCACTAACAATGGCCTACGAGTTAAAACTTTTAAAGATCCGTGTAAATTAGACGCTCAGGTTGTAGAAGAGTTACTTATGATGGTTTTACATAAGATAGCTATGAATTATTTATCGAAATGGTGGAAGACTGGATGCCGTTTTATTTTGAAGCAGTTTCGTCATAAAAGGAAAAAAAAAGGTAAGAGAGGGAGAAAGTTAAAATTCAGTATAAAAAATCGAAAAGAAATACTTTGTAAAGTTGCAAAGAAAAATGAAAGATGGGTTGGGGGTGCCTGGGTAAAACAAATGACAAGATTAAATCTTGTTTTCAATATTTGGCCTTTCGAAGATTTAGAAATTTTCTTTTTTCTTTTTATTAAATCTAGAAAGCAAATAATAGATGCAAACAAAGAAAAAAATGCTAAATTGAAAAGTTATAATCCAAATAAAAACACGGAGAAGTATATTGTTTCTGAGAAATTATCGGTTTTTGCAGATGTCAGATTCTTTATCGTCAGTTCTTTGCTGAAATTTAAGGAAGTAGAGAGATGTGATCGAAATACAAGCTATAATACGGGATACGTAACTCCGGACCAATAGCCAGTGGTGGCATTTTACCAGTCCTCACCGGTTCGCCTTAACCAATTCTTAAAATTATAAGAGCTTAGTTTTTGGATTATGAAAAAATAATCTTACATATTAATAGCTGACATAGCTAAACATATAATTAATACCATTGCTGTAAATTCTGTGGAGGCTGAAAATGGTTTTCATGTGATGAACATAATTTATTCTGACGAAAGAAATCACCTTGAAGTTAAAAATGTTTTAAAGCTTCTAGGCATAAATTTGATTAGAACTTTGGGTCTGCAGCGATTCTGTTCGAATGTAGATTCGCCCAGCGTTATGCTGGGGGTTTTGACAAATATTGGATCGTTTCTTGGCCTATGGCTGAGATTCGATCAAGGCTTCGACTTGCTTGGACTGGCTCCGGCCGGGACCTGCTAGGACAAGTCATGATCAGCTTTGACTAGGCTCTGACCAGCTTGGACAAGCTATGACCTGTTTTGAACCAGTGGCCTTTGAGTGGAAACACTCGGGTCCCCCACGTTAAACGACCTTGTGTCACATCTTGACTTAGTGGGAGTCGAGTAAATAGCGATTCTGTTCGAATGTGGCTAAGAAACCATAACACAAGCTGATGACACTAAAGTCAAAAAAGCATCAGACCTCTGGACGGCAATATGATGAGAACAGAATTTCATTCTGGAAATATCTTAATAAATAAATGTTTTCTATTAAATTATCAAAACGGTTTCTTTTTGATAATATAAAGTGATTTGTTACCATTCTCAGATTGAAAAGAAAATAAGCAGAATAGGTTCTTGACAATTACTTGGCTTTATAGAACCGGTTCCTGGAAATTTGCGATGCCATTTATTGGCAATACCCGTAGATTGATAATAAAAATATTTCTTTACGAAACACATTTTCCCCGGAATCTCCCTCGTTATTATTTAGCACACCTACATTCACCCTGCACACATATCATTATTCTAGACTGGTTACCCTAGCGAAGCAATCAACCCAGTCTTGTCTGTTATTTTGTTAATCTCTTGAGAGAAGAAAACCTTTCTCATGTGCCCTCAGTCTCAATTTGATCTTGGCCTGTCGACTCCATTATCCATATCGTTTTTCAGTAAAGTTTTTCTTCTAACGTTCATAGCTCTTCACAACTTCCTATCCTTTTTAGCACTTAGTATTTGTTTCCTTACCTATCTCACCCATTTTCTGTTTTGTAATCAATTAACAGAAGTTTATTATTTAGAACATTAGATTACTCGATGTTTCCTTCAGCACCTCTTGCATTTGATATGTCCTGTTAGTATCGAATTTTCTAAGCCCTCTTTCCCAATTTGACTCAACATTTTATCAAATTGGCAAAGTCTTCATGACTTGACAATATATTGTATAATTTTACCGTGTCTCGGTGAAATATAAATTTTGTATTCATTAAGGATATTCAATTCATCGATTATAACGGAACACTCTTTAGATGATATTTACCTTTTGATAAACGCTCACGTATTTGTCTACCGATGATTAGTTGATCATTTGGAATAACAATTGGAGAGCTAATATAAACATAAAAAAGACAAGAGAAACTTTATTCATAATTTTTTTTAAGCGTTTCACCCCAAGCAAGGCGGGAAGCCACTAGGACGCAAGGGGTTACAGAAAATTTGGAGCAAGATCAGATAGGAGTGATAGAAGAAAGGATGAGGAGAAGAGTAGTGGATAGATCAAGGCAACTGGAGATACAGAGGCCAGTGAGAGAGAGAGAGAGAGAGAGAGAGAGAGAGAGAGAGAGAGAGAGAGAGAGAGAGAGAAAGAGTACCGGAAACCCCTTCCTAAACAAGGAACAAGGCGTAAGCCTCTACTCATGTCCAAGAGAAGCGGGGGGAGTGTTGACCGGGCGGTAGGAAAGCCTACCTACTCCTATTACATATAACACATACAACAACAACAAAAACAGAGGGAACGATGAGAGGGGGAGGTAATTTGCAAAGAGTCCTGGCTGACATTTGGATTTTACCCTTTCGCAGCATTAAGTTAAGTTTTAACTTAGTATAAGTCCCATTGTCTATTCTAAAAAGAAATTGAAGAAAATAAGGTTATCCGGATTTATTGCCATGTCATAATAAATGCCCCAACATACGTGGCAGCGAGTGTTAGTCCGCTTTCTTCCTCATGATAACAAGTGAATGTACAGCTTACCTTAAGTCCAAGCATCGACCTGGTGGGGGCGGGGATCAACGGCCAATCCACCGCCCTCAACAAATAGTGGGTTTGGGAGGCATGCTTTCAATAAAAATTAATAACAACAGGAGAAAGAATGGTGGCGAAAACAATTCCAAGTTCAGAAATTTTATTAAGCAATAATAGTCGGCCACTAAATCATGAGAATACTGACGAGACACTTTCGCATCTCGCCAAAGACATTCAATTTTCCCTTTTTTCTGATTTTTCTTTCGAAACGGGATTTCTAACTAGACCATCAGATAGGTTTGAATGATTAGGACAAAATGTAATGACAATACAACATTTAAAAAAAACCAGAGATTATTATAACTAACATGACCGCCATAGGGCAGTCAGAGAGGCAATTAAAGTACGGTATATTTTAGCAGACATCTTGGATGTTTGTAGCCGAAATGTTAATAATGCTCTCCGGTAAAGACTGAGTTCTGAAAATAAAAGAAGAAGCTTTCGGATTCACCAGAAGCGTTTACGTTATTTACTATCCACTCTGATTATTTAACAGTTGTAGAATAACGATCTAGGAATTGCGATGAAAGATTTAAAAAAAAATAGATAAAACAAACTAGTAAGAAATTAATAAAACTTCCTCTATGTTTTATGTTAGCTTCATCCCACGGATCTCTACTTCCTAAGAGGATGCTTTTCCGACTACTATAATCTTAACCTGTTCAAGTCTAGGGTTAACTGTTTTCTTGCCCACATATCCTCATACATTGCGTCTCTTATTCTTGCCGTTGACGCAACAAATTTTTTTCATGTACCTTGAGTGAGTCTGGTACCTTGTTTTGGTTGGACATTAAAAAATGTAAAAATATGTTGACTTTAATATTATGTCTGTTAAGAAGAATATATAAATTACTTTGACGATTACTATACATATGGCTATTACTAAAAGTAATAATAATAATAATAATAATAATAATAATAATATTAATAATAAAGGTTAATTAGATAATAACATGGTTTAACTCGGGTCAGCTTGAGTGCTCTTCGATCGGCATTAGTTCTCAACAGGATGACGCTTGTCCGACTCAAAGAAATCAGGTTTATTTCAGAGAGCCTTGATCTTTAAAATTTCATACGACTGACGGCGACGTAAGATACAAATGTCGTGAACCGATATCAGAGGCCAAGAAAAAAAAATCGATAAAACGATTTCCTTACAAAACCAATCAAGAAATCAATTAGACGTTATGGGCATCTCTTTTTATACCTCGGACACCCCTTTTAAATTAATCTCAAAATAACCTGGACCTCCGAACGGCGCCTTCCCCCACCGCAAAAATAAATAAATAAATAAATAATAATAATAATACTTGTGTGAGTTACCCAAGAATATGAGTTATAGTTTTGAACGTTTCAGTAAAAATAAAGCAAATCCTCTGTTTCCGATGTAGTTTCTTCTGTCGCTCGCATAAATACGCATGCACGCACACACACACATACAGGCAGACACACACACACATATGTGTTTGTGTACACATATATATATATATATGTGTGTATATATATATATATATATATATATATATATATATATATATATTAGGTTGGTGCAAAAAATAATGTCGTTTTTTGACGTTCAACTTCAAAAGATCATAACTCCTTTCATAATAAACTTTATTAATCGAAATAAGAACCATTAGAATCGACACATTTTTGCCAACGAGAAACAAGTTTATTTATCCCATTAGCATAGAAATCCGGAGTTCTGGAAGCGATGAAATCATTGAAGGCCGATTCAGGATCATCTCGGCTTTTGAAGCATTTTTCGCACAGGAAGTTGTCGAGATGCTTGAAAAAGTGATAATCGGTGGGCGAGAGGTCCGGTGAATATGGCGGATGAGGCAGAGTCTCGTAGCCCAATTCTTTCAGCTTCTGCAGGGTCAGTTGAGCAACATGCGGGCGAGCGTTGTCATGGAGGAGAATTGGTCCCTTCATATTGACCAATCTCGGGCACATACGTTGGAGCTTCTGGTGCATTTAGTCAATTTGTCGGCAGTACTTCTCCGCCGTAATCGTTTCGTCCGGATTCAAGAAGCTGTGATGGATGAGACCGGTCACAGACCACCAAACATTCACCATAACCTTTTTTGGTGCAATTTCGGCTTTGAGAAGTGTTGTGGAGCTTCTCCGGCATCAAACCACTGTGCCGAACGTCGCTGGTTGTCGTAGAGTATCCACTTCTCATCACACGTCACAATCCGCTCGAGAAATGGGTCGTTTTTGTTGCGCAGAAGGAGCGTAGAAGACACCTCAAAACGACGATTTTTTTTTATTATCGTTCAATTCATTCGGCACCCATTTATCCACCTTTTTTGACTTCCCTATTTGCTTTAAATGGCGAACGACTGTTGAGTGGTCGACCTCGAGTTCAACAGCAACTTCTCGTGTGGTTTTGCGACGATCGGCTTCAATTAAGGCTTTCAAATGTTCGTTATCAACCGCAGTCGGCCGGCCGCGACCGTCTTCATCTTCGAGGCTCTCGTCACCATTGCGAAATTTCTTGAACCACCGTTGTGTCACACGTTTGTTAGTGGTTCCTGGGCCAAACGCATCATTGATATCACGAGCTGTCTTGGCAGCTTTTCGGCCTAGTTTGAACTGGAACAAGAAAATCGTGCGGATTTGAATTTTGTCCATGCTGTCGAAAAGCCTGCAAAAAAATGAATGAAGAGATTGAGAACGATTCGATAGAGCGAAAAACGCGCTTCAAAATGATATATAACATGGCTATATATATATCAATGAATTAATTCAGAAATCATATATAAAAAGTAACATATGTAAGAAAACGACATTATTTTTTTGCATCAATAATATATATATATATATATATATATATATATATATATATATATATATATATATATATATATATATTGTCATCCACAGACAGCTCATCATTGTGCCTAGACACCCGATTTGGTATCAATACCCCTAAGCCATTGGCACACAGCAGGGATGAAACTAATTTAGACGTATTTATTTATAGGCAAACACACCAGTGACCGGAGAACTTGATTCGTCTTAACGAAGATTCTTGCAGCAGTAATAGTCACTGTTTACAAATTAACTTTTCTCCCCGAAGAGCTCAACCGAAATAAATTTTTAAGATCATGTATATATATTGTCATCCACAGCCAGAAAATTTCTCTGTTTCACAGCACATGAGTGTGGCTAGACATCTGATTTACCTCTAAGCCATTGGCGCAGGACAGGGATTAAGCTGAATTTAGACGTATTTATTTTTAAACAAACACGCCAGAGACCGGAGAACTCCATTCGTCTTAACGAAGATTCTTGCATCAGGAGCAGTAATAGTCACTGTTTACAAATTCACTTTTTTCCTCGAAGAGCTCAACCGAAATAATTTTTTTCAGGAGCATGTATATATAATGTCATCCACAGCCAGACTGTTTCTCTGTTTCACAGCTCATCATTGTGGCTAGACATCCGATTGCCTCAAGCAGGGACCAAGATATATAGTTTTATGGTATGCTATATTTATGGGACAAACTGCTCAGTACCAGATATAGCGCGTGTATAAATATAAAAATGGACACTGAGGTCAATATCGAGTCGCGGCAGTCTGTTTCATGCGTGAATGCAATCTTCATGCCATGTGTATCGTGTGGCGGCTCCCCTGCTTATATATCCTGGTCAGTGGGGCCTTATGAGTTGTAAGATCAGGTTCACCGGTTTATTGTATTATTCAAACAGCTATTTGCTACGAGTTTAATGAAAATATTTCCTCCATTTTTCTTTTTTTACATTTTTGTTGTACAGTGGGTTGAACCATATGGCGTTTCTTTTTGGATTCGTTTTTTTTTCTTTTTTTTTTTTTTTAACTGTGTGGTGTGTATGCGTATGTTGCCGAAGGTCTGTTTCATAATCTTTTTGGTTTTGTTGATAATTGTTTCACAAGGAGAATTGTTAGATTGTGGGATCTGCTTGATTAATATTAGCTCATAGCTGGAATATAGTGATTTTCTAAGCCCGGTTTAGATGTGGCACAAGGCAGAAAGTATGGGACACCCAGTGAGAATCGAATTCACTATTCAGTCGTAATTGATCTAGCATTAACTCAATTGCTTCGTCCACCCCAAGGAAAGTTGGCTCCCTGTGCCGTGCCAGGAAATTTTTCTCCCCGGAATCGATCCTCCAGATCTACAAATCAACAATTCGCCCTTGCATGGAGTATTGCTGCCATATATGATCTGGAGCCCCTTCTGTTTGCCTCGGGGTCCTTGATAAGATCCAGAGGCGGATATGCAATATAATTGGCCCTGCTCTGGCATCTCGCCTGCAGTCGCTCTCTCAGAGACGTGCCGTCGCCTCTCTCTGTCTTTTTTACAAATACTATCATGGTAATTGTTCCGATGGGCTGCTTTCGCTGGTTCCCAGACTTCATGAATTCAAGCGCCCTACGAGGCTGGCATCCCGCTCTCATCCTTTCACTGTTGTAACTCTTAAATGTAACCATCTCTTCTACCCCAACAGCTCGCACCTCTCGCCTGTGGAACTGCCTTCCCTTTTCCTGTTTCCCTGAGAGTTATGATCTCCATCTATTCAAATGTAATGTCAATCGACATCTCCAGTTGCCTTGATCTATCCACTATCCTTCTCTTAATCCTTTCCCCTATCACTCCTATTTGCTCTCACTCGAAACCCTCTGTAACCCCTTGCGTGTTAGTGGCTTCCAGCCTTGCTTGGGCTGAAATTCTTAAAAAAAAAAAAAAAAAAAATAGGTACGCCGAGGTGCCCCCCAAAAACGTGGAACGCTTCATGAATTTGCATGTCATCCTAGCGCATGGGCCATGCTAATCTTCACTGTATCGTTTCAATTTTAGAATATGTACTGCCGAAGCGAGTACACTCGTAGCAGGAATATATGTGTATATAAAAAGTTTAGTCGTTGGCTGATATTTGCCTTTTCTTAAGAGAAATGCTTGAATATTTTTTGATTGTTTTTGTAGTGGCCTATACTTTATCGATTATTTTGCTTACTTCAAGTAGGAAATGAATACCTATGATTACGAAGGTTATGCTTCATCAAAACCTTCCGTTCTAATGTTGAAAATTCCTTTCTTTGTCTACGTGTCTTCGTTGACGAATTATAGTTATTTTCGGCAGTGTTTCATGATATTTAATTCATTTTTGCTTATTATTATTTGTTCAAAGGCGGGGGAGCTGGGCTTATCTAGCATGGGTTCAGTTGTAATAAACTTTATTATAACTAGTTGCAATATATTTATTGTTTATACGTTATTTCTATAGATGCAAATGTTTAAATAAATGCTCCGTTTATAATAAACAGTATTAACAACTTTTACCGCCCTGCATGTCCGAGAATATGTATCCTTCGACAGGAATCAAACCTGTATCCTACACGGAACCGTCATGTAGCCTGACGTGCTATACCATTTAGCTACAGAGGAAGCATCTGGTCAGGAATGTCGAATTACTGCTTTTTAAACTACAAATTTCTTATGATTATTCTCGAACGCTCATATCTTCTCGAAACGTAGCTTAACGTAAACTGACGCCATATGTTATGAAATGGACTAAGTCCGACGATTATTTTAATATATTTTCTGCTTATAGGTTTTTTTTTTTATAGATACAAAAGAATCAAACGTGTATCCAACATATGGTCTTGTATACGATGCTGAGGAAAATGAAGGCTTATAGCACAATTGTCTGATTAATGATAAGTTAGTCAAAGGTAAGGAGTTGTAGTGGTTTGTAGTGTTATTGAATTTACAAAAAACCGAAGTGTTTCAAAATACTATCATCTTTATCTAGTAAAAAGCATGTCATTAAAAATACATTGTTGATTCAGAGCTTGATTACTGTTTATTCATTTCTCCCTCTCACCAACCCCTCTCTCTCCGTTATCCCATATATATATATATATATATATATATATATATATATAAAGAGACATGAGGATAAATTATTCTTAGCCAACGCGTTTCGTCCTGTGAGTGACTTTAAAATTTATTGCCTTCAGAAAGTCCCTAGGGGAGGAAACACGTCAGCTAAGAATAGTTTTTCCTCTTGTCTCTTTTATTCATTTTCTCTATCTATACACTCTAAAGATATATCCTACCTGAGAATATATGTATATATATATATAGCTAATATTAGTGGTAAATATACACATACATAAGTATATATACATAGGTGCATACACACACATGTATATTTTTGGAATAAAAAATTCCGAGAGGATAGAATCCAGGTAGAACTCAATATCCAGGACAGAGTAAGGATATAATAAAAAGGGTTAAACACTAATATTCCATGGTCATAATTTATTCCATTGGAATCGTAAATACGATCCAATTCATCAGACCTTGGAATATTAGTGTTTAAGCCTTTTTATTATATATATATATATATATATATATATGATGAAATATAGTTTTAAGGTGTGCTATATTTATGGGATATAGTGCTCAATATCAGAGATAGAGCGCATGTAAATATATATATAAAAGTGAACATTGAAGTTAACACTCAGAGGCGAGAGGGTGTTTCATGCTAGGCGCAATCGTCAGCATGAAACAGCCTGTCGCCGCTGAGTGTTGACTTCAATGTTCACTTTTATATTTATGTTTATATATATATATATACATACACACACACACATATATATATATATATATATATATATAGATAGATATATATATAGATATATAATGTATATTTTAATATCTATACACGGCTGGTTTAAGAAGAAACGGATAATACAAGTTGCAAGTAAAAATATATTTAAACAGAATGGTATCTGGGGAAAAAATTGAAATAAAAAGTAATGAATCAAAACATCCGAGTAGATTGAAAAAAAAAATCGCCCAACATCGCAATGCCTACCCAAAAGGAAAAAAAAAACAATCGAGTGAAATAAGAAAAATCGTAAAGTGGTCAATGCGCTAAGTAGAGTTTAAAAAATCCTAGTGAGCCAGAAACTTCCTACCTAGGTTTCATCTAAATGGATCTTCAGGCCGAACCGACTGTTTTATGGTAGACACAATATCGCTTTACTTGAATTTATTCAAAGAAATATGTGCTATCTTTCGCTATATTCATGATTCCATCCTCTACGTACATGAGATCATTCTTGATGAAGAACTGGTATAAATCGTATTTCCAGACGGCCAAAGAGAATTAAGAACATTTTGCAGAAATCGAATTAAGTGGTAATATAACGGTAAAACAAATGAGGTGAGTACGAGTAAGAAATCCCATCCAAAATGCATCGATTTCTGTCGGGTCTGCGAGGACTGGAGCTTGGTCTAAGGGAAGACAATATCTTTCCATTTGTCTAATGTCAGATGCTTTTCTTCGATTGTTGCTTTTCATCACTCCAAATGGGAACAATACTTCGAGTCTCGTTAACCATTACACCACGTCCAAGCGTCTTTTACTTATTTGCTGCTTCCATTTCCTTCATCTACAAAAATATAAAAAACATAATAACCTACTAGAATTTTCCAAATGCAAGAAGGAAAATGAATGTCTGTCTATATTTATGAGATGAGGTACTATGTACACTATTTATATTATTCGCACTCTTGTCCTCATCTTTGTCGCCATATTAATTACAACGTTTCGGCCGTTGTACTCTCCGGCCT